CATCTGTAATATTCTCAACAGTAAAAATTTTTTAAAATGATATTTTAAAAACTATAATCATTTTGTTCCTGTACTTAATATTGGGTAGACCATTTAGGGAGTCCGCTGCACATGTATTTGAATCCTGTATTTATCACTGACAAACTGTAACTTTGAGAATTCGGTTTTCCTCAGTTAACCTTAGGCTTCTTTTCTATGTGGAATGGGGTAGTGAAGTGTGTCTATAAATTTTAAATGAGAAAAGAAAATTGATATACATAGCACAGAGCTTTTACATACTAGATGCTCAATAAATATTTCTTCTCATTGTCCTCTCCTTTTCCTCACTGATGTACCTTTTGAAAGTACTTATATACGCTGTTTCCACTTACTCATTTTAGCTGATTAGGGTCTGCATGTTCTTATTACTGGTCTCACCATGGTCAGAAAGAAAGTATCCATGGCCAGCTGCAGTGAACACCTTTTGGGCTTCATTTTAATGGGCTCACTGTGTCATAAGATACCCATCTCTCTGTCCTTTAAATGTTCTCTTTCCTTGTCCTTCATAGTATCTTTGTCTGTGGGACCCCTTCAGATTTCTTGGATATCTGTCTCAGCCTCCTTTTTAAATTTACTTTTTTTCATATATTTGTGTCACAATGGGTCTCCATATGTAGCACTCTTCTCCTTCAACATGCCTTGCCTGTTATACACTTAAAGCCACCTAGCACCTGTACATCAGGAACTACCTAAGATCTTCTAGATGATATTCACCACTTGGTGGAGAACTCCCCTGGGTTCTTCTTGAGTGTCTTAAATATCATTTTCTCTTCCAACACTATTCCTTCATGTTCAATATCATCAGCATTTTTGTTACAACTACCAAAATTAGAAACTGAAATTATTTGTACTCCAAGTTTAGTAAACAGATTACTTGATATTATCTCCTAAATTAGTTTGTCACAAATGAGATTTAAATTATATCCTAGCTCTGCCTCTAATTAGTTCTGACCTCTGAAAAATTGCTCCTTCTGGGCCTCAGTTTATCTGATCTCTGAAAATGTTTAGTGTAGGTCAGAGGTCGGCAACTAGGACCTAGGATTCAAATACAGTCTTCTGCCCATTTTTGTAATAAATTTATGTTGATGGCTGCTTTGTGCTACAGTGGCAGAGTTGAGTAGTGACAGAGGCTATATGGCCCACAAAGCCTAAAGTAATACTTTAGGGCTCTTTATGTTAAAGGTTTGCTGACCTCTAGAGACCAGAGGCTCTTGCCTATAATTTTCATCTCTAAGAGCCAGCCTGGCGAGAACCTGGCTTTAAGATTATAAAAAATAAGAAGAAAAAGATTAGAAAAACTGATTACAGTAGTTCAGTATTTGGCAAGAGAAATTAAACAACAGATTATAACATTAGAATCTATGTTTCCTGATCTGATAGCCTTTGTAATTCAAGAACAGAAATAAAAATCTCCATTGCCACTTTATGGTGACAGGATAATTTATTTGGTTAAGTTACTTTTAAATGATAGTGAGTAAATCAATGATTTCACTTACTAACTTGTAATTAGCATCTTAAGTCACAAAAACTCATTTTGAAAGTGAAGAACACAGTTAAACTCTGATCGTAAATTAGAAGTATAATTAAGAGTCTTTTTTATATTATCACTGTTCATCAAAGCTTATTATTTCCATTCTGATAAAAGATTTTCCATATGAATGCACTGGTATATATTGAAGGGGCATTATAAGTATGTAAAAATGCTTAGATAAAAATATAAATACAACACCCATTTGATACAAACTCTCAGCAAAGTGGAAATAGAGGGAACATACCCCAACATAATGAAGACCATATATGTAAGGCCAGCCAATAGCATACTCAATAGGCAGAAACTGCAAGTGTTTCCTTAAGATTGGGAACAAGACAGGGATGTCCACTTTCGCCACTCTCACTCAATATAATACTGGAAGTCCTAGCCACAGCAATCAGGCAAGAAGAAATAAAAGGCATCCAAATTAGAAAAGAAGAAGTAAAACTCATTATTTGCAGGTGACATGATGTTATATAGAGAAAACCCTAAAGATTCCACCAAAGTACTACCTTATTGACAAATCAATTCAGTAAAGTAGCAGGATACAAAATAAATATCCAGAAATCAGTTGCATTTTTATACACCGATATTGAACTATCAGGGAAACTAAGAAAACAATCCCATTTCCAATTGCATCAAAAATAAAATGAAATACCTAGAAATAAATTTAACCAAGGATGTAAAAAACTTGTACTCAGAAAGCTATAAGACACTGAAGAAAGAAAAGAAGATACAAATAAGTGGAAGCATGTACCATGTTCATAGATAGGCATTAACATCATTAAAATGTCCAAACTATCCAAAGCAATCTATAGGTTCAGTGCAATTCCTATCAAGATATCAATGAACTAGAACAAATATTTTAGAACTTTGTATGGGACCACAAAAGCCCCAGAATAGCCTTGGCTGATTTGGCTCAGTGGATAGAGCATCCACCGGTGGACTGAAGGGTTCCAGGTTCAATTTTGGTCAAGGGCACATGTCCTGGACTACTGGGCTCAATCCACAGTAGAGGGTGTGCAGGAGGCAGCCAATCAATGATTCTCATCATTGATGTTTTTATCTCTCTCTACCTCTTCCTCTCTGAAATCAATAAAAATATATTTAACAAATAATAATAATAAAATAAAAAAGAGACCCGGAATAGCCACAGCAATCTTGAGAAAGGACAACAAAGTTGGAGGAATCATGCTATCTGATATCAAACTATAATACAAGGCCATAGTAATCAAAACAGTATGGTGCTGGCATAAAAACAGACATATAGCTTAATGGAACAGAATAGAGAGCCCAGAAATAAACCAATGCCTTTATGGTCAATTAATATTTGGCAAAGTAGATAAGAACATACTATTGAAGACTATCTTCAATAGTCTAGTCCAGTGGTCGGCAAACCGTGGCTCGCAAGCCACATGTGGCTCTTTGGCCCCTTGAGTGTGGTTCTTCCACAAAAAAACCACGTGTGGGGACGCATGTACAGTGCGATTGAAACTTCGTGGTTGATATTTGGCTCTGTTGACTAATGAGTTTGCCGACCACTGGTCTAGTCAATAAATGGTTTTGGTAAAATTGGACAGATATGTGCAAAAAAATGTGAAACTAGACCACCTTACATCATACACAAGAATAAACTCAAAGATGTAAATGTTATGTGGGTGCCTCTTCCTGGCCCTGGTGCGTGGAGCTGGGGAGCCCAACTTGGGGTTTTGACCCCACATTTATCAGGGGGGTTCCCCCACAGTTGAGATATCCCTCTGGAATCTCAGCTGCCACCCGGGAGGCAGGGCCAGCCCTTGTCTCATCTCTGCCCTTCTTGCCCGTCTCAATGTAGTGTCTTCTATAACTCTTTGGTTATAAGACTTCTCTTCATCTAGTCTCCAGTTGGTTATTCGGATGATTGTTCCATAATTTGTGTGTGTGTGTGTTATAATTTAGTTGTAATTTCAGTTTGGTCCTACTCTACCACCATCTTGGATCATCATCTTGTGTTTTAATGATTAGAGTCTTTTGTGCATTCTAGATTTAAATCCTTTGCGGAATATATGTTTTAGTGTGTAGCTTGGCTTTTGATTTCTTAAGAGTGTCTTTTGAAGAATAACACTTTTAAGATTTTGATTAAGGCCTGAAAGTTTTAAAGAAGTCTAGAGAATTGGAAGCAACAGCAAAAAGCAAAACAAAACTTTATTTCTTTGCTCTGATTATTCACTGGTTGCCACCAGAAATCAAGTATGTATTGTACATTCCACTTTTTTTGTGCAGTTGTCCTGAATTGTAAATGGCTTAATATTTCAACGAACTTGTTTTGTACTAGGCCCTAGAGTTTATAAAGATGAGTTATAGATGTCATTTTTCTTCACAGTGCTCATTTTTAGTATTTAGTGTTTCTTCCCATCATCTGTTTTTGGAGCCAGGTCTATATATTTTCCTTTGTTCAGTCCTGAATGCAACTCTAGAGGCAATGAAGTACGCAGTAAATTTTTATCTTGTATTGTACTTATACTTTCTCCACACACAAATATGTAATTTCATCATGCAAGAAATTTATTGGGTGTTCTTTATTTTTATTATCGTCCATATATCATAGCATAATTCTTTATACACAGGGGACAATCACTAAATATTCAGTGATTAAGTGGAATTATTGATGACCATGGTTAGGTATGGCTTTCCCGATTATCCTAAATAATAAAAGGCTAATATGCAGATTGACCAAACGGAACGACCAGTCGCTGTGACACGCACTGATCACCAGGGGCAGACGCTCAACACAGGAGCTACCGCCTGATAGTCAGTGCACTCCCACAGGGGGGCACCGCTCAGCCAGAAGCCCTGAGCCGGACTCAAGGCTGGTGAGCACAGTGGTGGTGGCGGGAGCCTCTCCCGCCTCTGCAGCAGCACTAAGGATGTCTGATTGACAGCTTAGGCCCACTCCCCGCAGTCGGACACCCCTGAGGGCTCTGGAACTGTAAGAGGGTGCAGGCTGGGCTGAGGGGCACCCTCCCACCTCCCACCCCGGAGTGCACGGGCCTCTAGTTGATAATAAAACCTTGGACTATACTTAACTAAATGAATAAGCGCTATTCTCATTTCAGATGCCATCATTACAATAGCTTGTTTTCTAGATAGAATAAAGATGCCTGGTTATTACTTGAGTATTTTTGAGTGATCTTTTTTTAAAACTCTGATATAACATCATCATCATCATTATTATTATTATTATTATTGTAAAAGCCTGTGTAGGGTAGAATAGCATGAGTCTGTAATCAGTTAAAAATGAAACATCTTTCACAAAGGTTGCTCTATTTAATGAGTTTTGTATTTTATAACTTTGGAATACCTTTTCCAATGAAACCAATACATTGAAACATAAATGTTATACTTGTAAGTATATAGAAAATTATGGTAATAACTTGTTTTCTCTATCTAGGTTCTGGGGACACCAACAAGGGAGCAAATTAGAGAAATGAACCCAAACTACACAGAATTCAAATTTCCTCAAATTAAGGCACATCCTTGGACTAAGGTGAGTCGAATAGAGTTTTTATAAAGGCACATTAACAAGTTAACTAAAACTTGGGTTTTTATTGTTCTTAAACTAAACTATTTTGAGACTAAATAGCTGCCTGAGTACAAAGTACACAGCAGTTCTGCATGTAAAGATAGTTGGGTAGTTGTACTTCAATGTTTCATTGACTGCATATAGTTTGTCTCCATTGATTTCCAGTAAATTGTTTCCATTCTGGGTTTTTATTTGTAGGGTGAGGACAGTGTAGTTATATTATTAAAATATATAATTTTATAGGAGCAAAATTCATGTATAAATTTTGACTACTTAAAATTCAGAAGTTAATTTCTTTACATAGTTAGAGGTGCTTATTTAGTATCATACACTATTGAAAACATATATTTCATATATTCCTTTTACAAACTATTAATATAGTTTGTAATATATAGATGATAATGGTGTATTTTTCTTATTTACTTTCCTATTGGTGTTTTGGGAGCAAGGATAAAAAGCAGGTTTGATCTTGCTAGGAGTATACATTGAAAGCAATAGATGTTATAACAGGATGTCACTAGCCATTGGAAAATCCAACCTCAATATTAGATGGAACCAAGTCTAAGAGCATAAGTACTAACTTACTGGAAAACATTATTTTTTGCTTTGACACTTATTAGAAATTATTTTTAAGAGAGATTTTTTATTAAAAGCATTGTGTTTTTTTAACCTCAGTTTAATTTATGAGATTAAGTGTGCAAGAAAAAACATGTCTCAATAGGATTTATAGCTAGAGTGAATTTCTAGTGTCCTCATTTTACAGATTCAGAAACTCTGGCCAAACATACTAAGTCGCTTATCCAAGGTTAAATGGGTGGCTCTTATAAAGCCAATAAACTTATTCGTGTGTACACATATGTGTTTAATGCCAGATCTTTTAAACTTCTAGTTATATGCTATGCACTCCCCCTTCCCATTTACTTGTATTTCATTATACCAGAGGCCCGATGCACGAAATTCGTGCAAGGGGCTCAGCCCTCACAGCCGCAGTGCCCAGCTTCATCCAGAAGGTCGTCTGGACAGTTGTTCTGCTGTTTGGCCATCAGGTCTAATTAGCATATCACACTTTTATTATTATAGATATTTTTGTGGGTTAAAAATGTTCAACTTTTTAATCTGTATTTAAAGCAGAGATGTTCTGTATTTAAAATTGTATACATAACAATTTATTTTGAATGTTGGTAAGTTCATTTAATTGGTTTTAGATCTTTTATAATGAGACTAGGGGCCCGGTGCACGAAATTCGTGCACTGGGTGTGTGTGGGGGAGGGAGTGTCCCTCAGCCCAGCCTGCCCCCTCTCACATACTGGGAGCCCTCAGGCGTTGACCCCCATTACCCTCCAATCGCAGGATCGGCCCCTTGCCCAGGCCTGATGCCTCTGACAGAGGCATAGACCCCCATCACCCTCCGATCCCCTGATTGGCCCCTTGCCCCG